GGTGGTGGTTACACAATTGTGTACATTTGTCAAGACTTGTAGAATTAAAAATGTTGAGTTTTACTGTATGTAAATTATACCTTAATAAAAACAATGAGAAAAAAGAACACTGGCATGGGAACTAGGAAAAGTGGAATCTAGTTTCAGTGATGCCACTAACTGGCCATGTAGCCAAGGACAAACCTCTAATCCTATTCAGACCTTGGTGCCACATCTGTAAAGTGAGGCTGGATAGTTTCTCAAAGGCCTATTGCTCCCTCCACAAAGACTTCCTTCCGGGAGCAAGGTGGTGGGCCAGATGGCCCCTCTCACTTCAGATGGCCGACGTGAGCTGCCAGAGCGTTGCTGTGCAGTGACTGAAATAGCCCAACTGTACACACGGTTCTGAAGTCTTCTTGGATTAGGAAGTTGTGTTTCTAATTTTTGTTGTTCCAAAAGATGGAGCTCTGAAAAAGTCCATCTGGTCAGGCAAGTTCCCACTCAAACTCTACACACATAGTATTTGGACAATGTGGAAAAAATTCTTCAGGAAATACTAATGCTTACTGAGTTATAACTGGCCCTGGTAAACAAACACCTCTTTTTTCTCTTGCAGGCACCAACTGGAAAGGCATTTGAAGAGGGTAGTGTCCACTGCCATCATCTGCCCATCCTTCAGTTGGACCTGCTGTCTACTGCCCGAATTTAAACAATGCTCACAGTTGTTGGTACAGCCTTACACTATTTATGTATTGGTAGTCACCAAAGTTGCTCCAAGGGGTACCCAGGAACGGTTCCACGCAGAGCATGGAAAAGTAAAAGGAAAGCACTAAGAATAAAAACAATGAGCTTGCTGATGTCAAAAGCTTACATTTTTTATTTTTAAAACAGAGGCCCATAAACTATGGCCTGGTAATTTTTTTTTAATTGTGGTAAAACCACATCATATCAAATTTACTATCCTAACCATTTTGAAATATACAGTTCAGTAGGGTGAACAATGTGCAATGGATCTCAACAAGGATTTATCACGCCAAACTGAAACCCTATAATTCCTTTCGTCCTGCCCAGGCCTTGGCAGCTGCCTTTCTACTTTCTGTTTCTATGATTTTGACAACATTTGATACTCCATACGAGTGGAATCACACATTATTTGTTCTTTGGTGACAGGCTTATTTTGTTTGGCATGATGTCCTTGAAGTTTATCCATGTTGTATTGTAACATGTGGCAGGATTCCCTCCTTTTGAAAGGTTGATTACTAGTCCACTGTGTGTATACTCCATCTTTTCTTTGTCCATTCATCTACTAATGGACATTTGGGTTGCTCCGACCTCTCGGCTATTGTGAGCAATGCTGCAAAGAACATGGATGCACAAATATTCCTTCAAGATCCCGCTCTGAATGCTTTTGGATGTATACCCAGAAGTGGGATTGCTGGATAGTATAGTTCTATTTTTAAGTTTTTGAAGACCCTCAGTACATACAGTTTCCCATAATGGCCATACAATTTTACATTCCCACTAACAGTGAACAAGGGTTCCATGTTTGCTACATTCTCACCAACACTAGCTATTTTCTGTTCTTTTGATAGTGCCGTTCTAATGAGTGTGAGGTTATATCTCATGGTGGTTTTGATTTACATTTCTCTGATCATTAGTGATGCTGAGCGTTTCATATGCCTGATGGTCACATGTAAACCTTCTTTGGAGAATTGTCTATTTGAGTCCTTTGCTCATTTTTTTAATCTGGGTTTTTTTTTTGTTATCATTGAGTTGTAGAAGTTCCTTATGTATTCTGAATAACAATCCCTTATCAGATATATGATTTATAAGCACACTCCTATTCAGTGTGACCTTTTCAGTCTGTGAATTATTTCCTTTGATGAATACCAGCAACTGGTTTTATAAATTAGTTTTACTGGAATACTGCCACACCTAACTCAGTTAGCATTTTCTGTGGTTGTTTTACATGATGGGGTAGTTGTGACAGACAGTGTATGGCTGCAAAGACTAAAATGCTTATTCATGGGCTCTTTATAGGAAAAGTCTGCCAATCCCTGCCATAGAATATGTCACAAACTATATGGGTTCAACTAAAATCTCATTTAATCACCACCATGAGATGGGAATTATTAGCCTATGAGGCAGGTCAGAGGTCGCAGAGCATAACGGGTAAGAACTTGCTGTGGGGTTTGGCAGACCTGGGCTGTGCATCCCACCAGTGGAGTGATTGTGGGTGTGTTATATCAGCTCACAACTTCCTGACTTCCCAGTATGTGAACAGGGGCTAACAAACAGCACTGCCATGGTAGGTAGGCATGAGAAGCTGATGTGACAGCTAGCACTTGCTTTGATATTACAATTCTCATTTGCTATGTGAGAAGCAGTCAGTGTTCAGTATTCCTGAGGAGTTTTTCTTCCTAGAAATTGTGTCCACTATTAAGAAACTAAGGGTGCCCTCACGTCCTTGGTTACCGATTATTGGAAACAGTCCTGAATCATTTGTGCCACTGCTGTGTGCTGCACAAGGCACTGTTTCCACCTTTCATGCCCATGCAGAAGGAAAGGACCATGACCATGTCTCCAGCTCTGGGCTATGCTATGCTCTTGAGAGACACTGGAAATCCCTGACGTGGCTGAGTGTCCAGCAGCAACTTGCGAGCAAGACCACCAAATGGACATAGTGGCCATTCACAACAGGATGCAGACTACCAAGCCCATGCAGAGGAGAGAATCCCCACTCCAGGTACCATGGGGGACCCATGAAAAGAGGCCCAACTCTGGCTGTGTCCTGCAGATGCCAGGTGGTGATGGGGCCACTGTGAGTAAGATCAGGGGATCAGAGGCCAGGGTTTCAATGAAGGCCAGCATGGGCCTTGGATGACAAGTTGCTTCAGAAGTCTGTGACATGATTTGTGACTAAAGCTTATAAATGGACATGATCTACCATCATTCAGCAAACAGAAATGTAAGGTGCTCTATGGTTTCTATGAGCACACAGGAAGGAATAGCAGGACAGAGGAGACAGGAGCCCCTTCTCCTGTGTCCAGAGGATTACTGTGCTGGGAAGAATCTTTTGAGCCACCTGTCATCTGGGCCTCTGTCTCAGGGCTCCCAGCCAACTGTGTAAAAATAGTTCATGTAGAATCAAAAGCCAGAGACACGTTTTAACACAGCAATCGACAGGTGAGAACGTGGGCTCAATGAGCTATTATTTCATTTCCTCTAGAAACATTGTGGACTGAGCTTTCAGATGGGTATATCTCATTTGGAGGTCTCATTGCAAATGAATGTGATTGATTTGATGTCTTTTTGCATGTGTAATTTCCACATCCCAAAGAGTGTTGTTTCCTTGAGAGAAGTCTTTAGAGTGTGTTCACTCATTTCATTTTGGAATTGACTTTCAAGTTTGGGGCAGGCTTTCCAAACGCCTTCCACCTGGGAAGGATGCCATACTTTGGGGATGGAGTTCCTCTTGGGAAATGGCACCTGGATATGAAACTCCAGGTCTTGTATATGAGGAGGGCAGTCAAGAGGGGGAAATATTGTGGGGAAAAAAAAAGCTTAGAAAAAGACAAATACCCCAGTTAAAAACTGAGCAAAGAATCTGAATAGAAACTTTTCTAAACAAAGATACACAAATGGTCAATAAACACACGAAAAGGCACACAAGATTATTAACCACCAGGGTACTGCAAATCACAACCACAACGAGACACACTTCACACACGTGGCAAAAAAGCAAAAGACAGACAGTAATAAGTGTTGATGAGGCTGTGGAGAAGCTGGAATTCTTTCACACTGTGGGTGGGAGTGTGACGTGGGGAAGTCACTTGGCTCTTGTTACACATGAAGTTATGACTCAGAAATTCCCCTCCAAGGTCCATACCCAAGAGGAATGGAAACGTGCCCACACAAAACTTGCACAAAGATGTTCAAAGCAGCATTATTAATAAACAAGGAAATTCAGAAATAACTGACGGATAAGTAAAATGTGGTATATGCATATAACAGAATATTCTACGAAAATAAAAAGAAAATAAATATCGACACACTCTTATAACATGAATGAACCTTAAAAGCATCATTCTAAGTGAAAGCAGCCAATCACAGAAGACCATGTATTGTATAATTTCATTCATAGGAAATGCCCAAAACAGGCAAATAAAAATAAAATAGATTACAGTCATGGGCTGCACAATATTCTAGCAATGAGGAACCGCACATACAATGGTAGTCCTATAAGGCCATAAGGCTGTATTTCTACTCTGTATCTTTTCTACTTTTAGGTGATGTATAAACACTTACCACTGTTGCCTACAGTATACAGTCACGTGCTGTGCAGGTGTGCATATGAGGAGCCATAGGCTAGACCACACAACCTAGATGTGTAGTGGGCTAGACCATCTAGGTGTGTGTAAGTCACTCTGTGATGTTCATACAATGACAAGATTGTCTAACAGTGTGTGTGTGTCAATAGCATATCCCTGTCATTAGCAACACATGACTGAGGTGCTTGGGACTCATGCTGGGGCTGTGGAAGGAATTGGGGAGTGACTGCTGATGGGGACAGCATTTTTTGGGGGGGCTAATAAAAATGTTTTAAAATTGATTATGGTGATGGTTGTACAGGTCTGCTTATATGCTAAAAAAATCACTGAATTGTACACTTTAAGTGGGTAAATTGTTATGTGAATTATGTCTCAAGAATGTTATAAAAATAAGCCTTGTGATTAGTTTATGAGGTTGATTTAATTGTTCGGCTTCTGACACTGAAAGCTGACAATATTCTGTACTTATTGTCACACTGCACTGAGTGGTTTATGTGTTCTAGCCCCTTTAATTCTTACAATATCCCTGTTTGGTGAGCAGACTTATTGATTCCCATGTCAGAGATTAGGAAGTTGAGTACAGAGAGATAAAGTAAAGTCTCTAAAGTGACAAAGCAACACATGTTCAGGCCAGGATTTAGAAATCAGGCCTATCTGATGCTAAAATTCATTCTTTCTTTCTCCTTCTTATCGCTTTTTAAAAATTTTATTGCTTTAAATAGTTAATATACTCATATATTTCACAACAGAAAGTGACATACAAGGCACACAGCCTTACTCCATCCACTGTCTTTCCTGTCCACAGGCGCAGCGTGGATTCGCTTCTTGCACATCACTCAGCATTCCCTTCAAACAAAGCACATGGATATGCGGTTTTATTACTCCCATGACAAACACAGCACATGACACACGCCACTCATATGCAGCACACAATACACGCTGCTCAGATACAGCACGTGATGTGTGCCGTTCAGATATAGAGCATGATATACATGGTTCAGATGCAGCACATGACACACACTGTTTATATGTAGCACATGATACACACCATTCAAATGCACCACATGATACACACACCATTGAGATGCAGCACATGATACATGCTGTTCAAACGTAGCACACAATACATGCCACTCATATGTAGTGCATGATACATACCATTTGTATTTAGCACACAATCCACACAAGTTCATATGTAGTACGTGACACATACCATTCATAAGTAGCACATGATACACATCTGTTCATAGGTAGCACACAATACATGCCACTCATATGTAGTGCATGATACACACCATTTGTATTTAGCACATGATCCACACAGTTCATATGTAGTGCATGACACATACCATTCATAAGTAGCACATGATGCACATTTGTTCATAGGTAGCACATGATACATGCTGTTCAGCTGCAGCACATGATATGCACTGTTCAGATATAGCACATGATACATGCCATTCATATGTAGCACATTATATACACCATTCATATATAGCATATGATACAGACTGTTCAGATGTTGCATATTATACACATTGTTCATATGCACCACACGAGACATGCTATCCTGCACCTGTTATTTTCTCTCGTTAGGGCATCCTACAGTCCTCCCACGTGAGTATTCCCCATCCTTGTGTTTTTGCTTCTGAGCACTCCAGTGCCTGAATGGATCCTAATCTAATGAGCTACTCCCTAAAAGATGGACACCGAAATTCTTTCCAGAACCAATATTTTGAAACTGTCACCAAAAGCAAGAAGGAAATGCTTAAGGAATTAAATCATTATTGAAATAAATTTTTACCCTCACAAATGGACTCCTTTGGAGGTGATAACCCTCTTTTAAATGTGTGAGTTGGTAAATATTCATTAAATACCAGTGTCATGGTCTAAATGTTATATCTCCCCCAAGATTCACATATCCAAGTCCTAACCCCTAGGGTGATGGCATTAGGAGGAGGAGCCTCCGGAGGGGGGGCATTAGGTCATAATCCCCACAAATGTGATTAGTTCCCTTATAAATGAGGCCCCAGAGAGGTGTCTCCCTTCTGCCAAGTGAGGTTCAGTGAGAGGCGGCTGTCTATGATGAAGTGGGTTCTGAGCACACACTGACCTGCTGGCGCCTTGAGCTTGGACTTCCCAGCCTCCAGAATTGTGAGAAATACATTTCTGTTGTCTACAAGCAACTCAGTTTGCAGTATTCTGTTCTTTCAGTCTGAGCGGACTAGACAACCAACAACCACAAAATTCAATGCCTATAGCAGGAGAGCCCTGTGTGCACCAGGGAGGGATATCCCACATTGTAGACTGAAGAGTCAACAGAGTGGCTCACACCTTCTCAAGGGGAACCCAGGGATCTCCCAGAATGAATAGTGCAAAATCTCGTACTTACTCATCATGCTGTTTCTGCTGATTAAAATTTACAGAGATAAAGCATCAAATATTCAACACTGACTCACCTGCCTACCACCCCCCATGGTAGCTTTCCACTAACTAGACATGTCAGAGGAACCAGCTCACTTGGGTGGGATGGAACTCTAAGTCTTATCACAGCAAACCTCAACCCCAAATAGTTTAAGGCTGCCCCAGCTATCTGCAGAATGTCTATCATCAGTCATAGAAACAACCTATTTTGCTTCCTTTTTTTTTTTTTCCCTAAGAAACTATCACGTGAATAAAGCTATGGACTTTCTAAGGACGCCTAGCAGAACACGAATTGAGCATTATCATGGAAAGGATAAGCAATAAGGAAGGTAATATAAGTACAGATAAAATATTCCAGAAGTGAGGAACAGGGTCTCTCCTGCAGGAAATGGAAGGAAAGAATTCCAAACGCATGACTGTCAGCACTAAAGAAAGTGACAACTGAACTGAAGAGGCTGAACTGAGCCTTCCCTGAACACAAACATATATTTAGCGTAATAGACTGGAGTACTATCTCAGGAAAAACCTCATATATTATGCATCTAGGGCAATGACAGCTGTAGAAAATGACTCTGCAGAGCAAACACACTGCAGGCTGCCACCCGCAGAAGGAGGAAGCCAAGGCACCCTGAGGAGTCAAGGGCTGGTTCCATAAATCATCTCAGGAGGAAAAAAGAGTGGAAATAACCCCAGATACCAGACAGAACCTGGGCAGGACTATGCTTCTGGGTGAAGTTTGAATGTGTATATTTGTGTTTTCAGATTACAACCAGAATTTGAATCTGCAGTAGAGGATTGGGCAAACGTAGAAAAAAGAAAACAATTAAAACCACCCACAATCCCGCCACCCAGAGAGAACCATCATCAAGGTCCTGGTCAAGTCTCTCACAGACCTCTTCCTTGTGCAGATAAGAATGTATGGTTTTTACACAATTGGGCTCATAAAACAAACACAATTGTCTACGTAGCTTTTCCCTCTGATTCACAGTACCCCATAAGCACTTTCCCATTTTGCAAATATTCCTTGAAGATGTAATTTTAACACCTGTATTATGCTGTATCTCATGAATTTAGGCAGAATTATTTGATTCTTTCCATATTGCTGGACCTCTAGGTGATTTCTAAATTTTCCATTTTATAAACAGCTCTGCATAGACTTTCTTGTCATCACTTTCATATCACTATTTACTTCTCAAAAACAACTTAAAAGAGTAACAGTATTTCACATTCAAATTTAAATCACTCGCTGCAACAGCACCTATACACGCACCACTGGAAGTCCCAGCGGAATGAATGCAAAGAATGCGTATCAAATAAACAATGTGAATTTCCTTTCACTTAAGTCTACATTTATCCACCTAGAGTCATCATCTTCAAGGCAGGACCTGACTTCTTGAGGCAAACTGACGATTGGACAATTGCTAGGCTCATCTAAATGCAATGACATGGGACTTGGCCGACCCAGACTTTTGCAACATCAGTAAGCATGCAATTACAACATTCTGCAGATTGAAAAGTGTCTATGGCTCTCGGAACCACACATTTCATCATCCTTTCACTTAAAATGGTGCACGATGGACACAAAAATAAAATAAAGGTTATAGTCAATGGAGGTTGATATACCCAAATCTCATGTAGACATGTATGTGACAAAGTATACCACAGGGATTCCTTCGGATTCTAGCTTTATTCTGCCACTTTCTCAGCTACAGGGATCTTAAGTGTTCTTACATATTGAAGTTATTAAGAATTTCTGTTAAGAATTATACAGTCTTAACAGTCCAGTTTTAAATTTGCTATATTCTATCTTCAAGAAGCTAAATAGAGTTCTTTCAATTTTAAAGTGTAGATGTGTGTAAATATAAACATACACATCCAAATTGTCTTTCTCCACTAGCCAGTTAAAAGCAGTGTAAAAACCCCACTTAATATCACTGGCTACCTTAACTATGGAATCACTCAAATTCTATACTCCTTCACAATCGGTGGTCAGTTGAAGATAGCTAGGACTTCCCTGGAGACTCGTGCAGACTGCACATTGTACAATTCCAGCAAGCAAAATGATACTGCAATGTGATGTACTCTACACAGTTGTGTAGTGCATGATCTATATGACTGTGTGATGACCCTGAAGTTAGTTCAAGTAACTTTGTCTGCTCACATATTATTTACTAGTGCGTTCTTTTTTCTAGTGAGCTGAGATAAAGATAAGTTTTGGGAAGGGAGTGGTCTGCATGTCTGTATAATTTTTAAGAAGGAAATTCTCAAAGAAACAGCATCGGGGCTGGTGCCGCCTCACCCTGCGTGACAGCGAGGCCTTTCTCCCCGCCCCCCACTGCCCAGCAGCGCAGGCTACCTTGAGTGAGCAGCTGTAGGTTCCTGACCTCCTCTCGCACCTTCAGCTGGAGCACCTGCTGAAGGATGTGCTGCCGCAGACTCTCCTGGCCAATCCCCATCCGCTCCAGCTTTTTGTCCGTGAGTCTCAGCAGGGCTCGCCCTATGGGTGTTCAGGAACAAAAGGAGAAGCAGGTGAACAACTTGCTGCAGAAGGGCCTCACCTCAGGCTTGGCTAACTCTGCTGCAACAGAAGTTTCCATCTAACACAGGCATTTCAGAGGGCCCTCCACTATCCTTGCTGACAGAAATGGATACTCAGGATGAAGACAACACAACACATGCATTTAAAAGAGAAGCCTATGAGTGAGAACATGTGGTATTCAGTTCTTTGTTTCTGTGATGAACAATTATCGTGATACTATTAGAAAGGGACTGGTAGCAGCAGGAAACTGCAAGGGGTGGAAGGAGCACACTGCATTGTCAATAAGGGTACCTGATCTCAAACCAGGTGAAGTGGGAACCAAAGTGAGGCCCAAACTTTACCTGTACAATGACCAATTGTATACCTAACCCTGAATTGCACCCTGCATCTTTAAAATAAAAGTAAAAAATAAAAGAAAAGCTCTGGAGACTGAGGAGGAAGGATCACCTGAGCCCGTGAGGCTATAGTGAGCCATGATCATGCTACTGCACTCCAGCCTGGGTGACAGAGCAATACTCCTATCCTAACTCAAAATAATAATAATAATAATAATATTTGCAATCTCTAACAGACTCTCACACTGAGTTTGATAAAATAGCAACATGGTAACCTGGATATTAGGGTCACAGGTTGCAGGTTTCCATAGGGTCAGTGCTCTTCAATGGGGAGGGGTTCTTGGCTACCCACAGGAGCCAAGTCCCCACCACCTCTATGGGAGAGCCGAATGCGCCACAGGACTAGAAGTTCACACAGGAGCTTGCGTGACCTTCATCATCTGGTCAAGGGCATGTCTGGGAAGACATACTTCCAGCCTGGCTGGGACCTGCAGGCCCTGAAGCTCACTTGCCCTGGGCTGGGGCCCCACTGCTATGGTGGGAGTCGCCTTCATTCCCATCTGGGGCAGAGAGTAAGGTTCCAGCAGGGTCAGGAGGAGCAGGCCAGAGGGAGTCTACACAGTGTAGAACCAGGATCCTGGGGTGGTGCCACCTATGTGGATGGAGGCCTGGTGGCCCACAGGCTCTCCAACCCATTTTCCCTCACTACACGCCTCCCTTCCTGCGTGATTTCCATCAGCATCCCAGGTTCTTCCCCTACTCTTGCTTGCCCTGAAATGGGCACACTTCCACATGGGAGGCTTCCTGCATGAGGCAGAGAGGATGCCACTGTTGGTGCCGTGGTGCCCTCTGTCCTGATACCTGTAACCACCCCTTGAGTCTCCTCACCTCTGTGGAGAGTCAGATCCCTCAGGTTTCCTTATCTCTGTGGAGAGTCAGAGGAGAGACCACAAGGGCAGCCTGTGCTGTCCATGCTCCTTGTTTCCCTCCTCTGAGCCTGGCCATGTATATCCATCAGGAGGAGTGAAATGTACGAGGTCTGTCAATTAGGTTCATGAACTTGCCACCATGCACTTACGTTAGCAGCACTATACAAACAACTCAGAAAAGATTTCATAACCTTGGTATATCAGTGTTTCATAGCCGTGCTTGTTTCGATGTGTGGCAGTGTCTTGCTGAGTGGTGTTCATTATTGTTGTTGCATGTTTTTTGTGTGTCATTGCAAGAATGTTGGAGCTTGAATTACAGTAACAGACAAACATTAAATGTCTTGTTAAACTTGGCAAGAGGGGAAGTGAAATCAGGGACATGTGAGTCCAAGTTTACTGGGATAATGCCTTGAAGAAAATGGCAGTATACAGATGGATTAAATGTTTTTCTGAGGGGAGAGAAAGCATCACTGATAAAGAGAGGTCAGGATGGCCAGAAACTAGCAGAACTGACAAAAACACTGCAAAAATTTGTTGAATTGTGCATCAAAATCGTCAATTGACTGTGAGTATAGCAGACCAAATAAACATTAATAGAGAAACAGAAAATTAACTGAAAATCTTGGCATGAGAAATGTGTGTGCAAAAATGGTCTTGAAGGAGATCTTGCATCACAACAATGCACCAGCTTATATAGCACTGTCTATAAGGGAGTTTTTAACTAATAAACAGATAACTGCACTGGAACACCCTCCCTACTCACCTGATCTGGCCTCCAGTGACTTTTTTCTTTACCTGAAGATATTGGAAATATTGAAAGGAAGACATTGAAGGCATTCAGGGCATCAAAGATAATACAAAACAAGAGCTCTGATGGCCATTCCAGAAAGAGAGTCTCAAAATTGCTTTGAGAGGTGGACTAGGTGCTGGCATCAGTGTACAGCTTCCCAAGGGGAGTACTTCAAAGGTGACCATGATGATATTCAGCGATGAGGTATGTAGCAGTGTTTCTAGGATGAGTTCATGAACTTAATTATCAGACCTCATATGTGATCGTAATAGGCAATCCCCAAATACCCAATACCCACAGCCACCTCAATCTACTTCCAGCTCATCCTGCATAAGGATGACAAGTCCACCATTCTAAACGCTGTTGAGCATCACCACAGGGGGAGAGGAGGAGGCATCGGGAAGTCTTCACACCATCAATGATGTGCTCAGCCTAGTCATTTCTAAGTCACCGGTCAGAACCAATCAATGAAGATTCCCACCCACAAAAGGGCCACTCACATACCTCCAACACATGCCCAGAAGTGGGGATAGGAAACAGAAATATATTATGGGCAGCACTGTTGAGAACTAGGATCATATTTCTTTCATTCATTCATTCATTCATTTAAGAGACAGAGTCTTGCTCTGTTGCCCAGGCTGGAGTGCAGTGGTATGATCATAGCTCACTGCAGCCTTGAACTCCTGGGCTCAAGTGACCTCTAGCCTCAACCTCCCAAGGAGCTGGGACTACAGGCACCAGCATACTTTGGCTAATTTATTTTATTGTTGTAGAGATGGGGTCTTGCTATGCTGCCCAGGCTGGTCTTGAACTCCTGGCCTCACGTGATCCGCCCACCTCAGCCTCCTGAGTCGCTGGGACTACAGGAGCATGCCACCATGACCAGCTGCACTGTAATAATATAGACATGCTCCTGGAACAGTACCTGGGAGAAAGTGAGCTCTGGGATGCGGTGTGTCTGTGATGGTGGGTGGGATCTGAAGACACTGTGGAACCTGCATCCGAGGGGAATCCCATGTAGTGACAGTCTGGCTTAGCAAAACCAGGTAGATCACGGTGGTAGTGAGAATGGAAAGATGGAACAATCAGACCCCACCTGTGCCCACGGCCTCCCATGGCAGGTGAAGTAACGCCCCATAATGACATCCACATTCTCATCTCTGGGGCCTGTGACTTTACTCCTTCATATGACAAAGGACTCTGCATGTGTGACTTAGTCAGTGTGTCGAAATGGGAGAGCACCAGCATTCACCCGGGGAATCCAGGCTCATCATACAGTCTTCACAAGGAGGGGCGGTGGGGCGGGGTGGGAACCAGAGAGAGAGGATGGAGAAGACAAGGAGGTGGACTCTCTGCCACTACCCCAGATATAGCCCTGTCGACACCTCGAGTTCAACCCAAAAACCCAGTTGGATTCCTGACTCTAAATTGTCCAATTATAAGTCTGTGTTTTAAGCCACTGAGTTTGTGATGTTTGTTACAGTAGCTCTTGGCCTTGTGCCTGGATTTGTGTGTTTCTGAGAAGTCAGGCAGGTGGCTGTGGGGTCAATTCCCCTCCGATGTCTGGGCATGGTGCTCAAAGGCAGCTGAAGAGCACTGAGTGGGGAGCCTGAGTCCCTGCCACCTGGAATGCCCTGTCTCCTCCTGCTCCCTGCAGACCTGCTCCTGCAGTTTCCCTCAGAAAACAAGGAATTGGGCATGATATTATTTATGTGAATCATTGGCTTCCAGCCAGCTGATGTCGGGCTCTTGTATACAATGTAATCTACAAAAAGTCTGCAAATACTCCACAGTCCTGATGCTCGGATCAAAATCACCCCAACTCAAAGATGAACCATGCCCCCTGCTTTCCATTCCCAGTCACTTGGGCTGAGGTTTCACCAGCAATGGCATCACCCTGCAAGAGCCACTGAAGTGCTGGTAGGATATGCAGTGACCAAGGTTGCATCTTGAGATACTGGGGCCGCCATCAGCACATGGTGCATACATTGGAGGAAGGGTTTTGCCCAGTGTCCACGGTTCCGCTATTTTTTGATGCCCCCTGCAAGCCTCCAGTCTCAGCTTCCCATAAATGCATCTGATTGGTCAGACACAGATATGCAAGCCCCATTAGAATGGAATTTTCCACCATGGAGGGCTTGGAGCATCAGGTTTAAGACATGAGTTATGATGTTCTGCAAGTTACACACGGCTTCATTTTTTGACCATGTGACACATAGTCATGCCTGTGGACACTTCACGTACTAAATATCCCATGTTCAGAGTATTTGATTCAAGTCCCGAGAATGCAGACATTACTGCTATTTCCCTTTTGTGGGAAGAAATACTTAAAGCATGGGAGCCCTCTCTAATTCTTCCCTCAGTACTCTCAGTTGTGTTTTATCTTCCTTGATAGGGAAAGAAAAGGTCTACACTTCAGGAAAGGTTACAGCTAGTCCATGGGAGAATTCCTGATAAACCACTTCTAGGAAAGATATCATCCATGCACCAAAGATCTCACATACAAAATCTGATCCACTGTCTTTCTGGATGGTTTCTTAAGAACAGTGCCATCCATCGGGCTGGTGGTTCTGGAAAACATTTATAATAATGAAATTGTTTCTAAGAGTGAATGTCCCCTAGGTCTCCTGCCTCACTATCTCCTACTGACCACACATAGGAGGGTGTCCAATGTGTGACACTGCTTTCAATGCAGATATCAAGGAGGTGATAAGTGATCAATCATCATCACATCTTTTGCAGTTTGTGTTGTTAATTTTTGTTGCTTATTGTACACATTCAGTGGTCAGTTCAGCAAACACCTGCTGAGCACTCATTGCGTCCCTGCCACCTGGCTATTCCTCTGGGCATCGTGCTAAACCTGGCAGACAGGGTTACTCAGAGGCCTCCACACCGACAGGGAAG